TGGTGCGATTGTACGACTCAGTAGATAACAGAAACAAACTTAATAAGTATTTCTTGCAGTGTTTTCAGACTACAAATTAAACATATTGCAAGTGTCTATGGTCTAAGACTTCTGCTCTCGAATTTCGATATCGAAATTTGATAGGGTAAATTTTGATAAGCACTCGATAGCATCCACTTGGAGTACTCAAACTTTAGGACTTTGCTTTAAAATCAATCATCAAATTGCAACTCAGCGAAAAGTTATATAGGTAAAATCTTATCGAGCAAGAGAGTGATAAAGAGAGAGAGGGGAGAGAGAGAGGGGAGAGAGACAGAGGGAGAGAGAGAGAGACAGCTAGAGACAGAGAAAGATAGACGGACAGCAAGACTAACTTATTGGATTGGCTTTGAGCAAAAAACGTCTTGCCAGTCATTCGCCTCTCTCACTCTCCCTCTCTCTCTCTTTCTGTCTTACTCTCTAATGTGAACGAGCAAAATCTCTACAGAGAGAGACAGCTACAGAATGAGTGAGTTAGAGAGAACGAGAGAGAGAGAGTGAGTGAGAGGAGAAGAGAAACATAGAAAAAGATAATCTGCCCGCTAGGTTTTTGTTCATTCATTTCTAACTACATGCCGTCTTTCTATATATTATATTCTATAAAGGATTAACAGGTTTCATATGCAAATCGTTTCATATTTATTCATCGACTCTTAAGACTAAAGCCTATGATCTCTGTGGGAATCTAAGGAAGAAGAACCTTAACTAAAAGTAAACAGAAATCACTTAGACAAGTTTCATGACAACATAAACCAAAACTCAACCTAAGACTACAATAATTTCTTCATCAGCTTACTAACTTCAATTAGGTGGATTGGGTCGTCAGCTCTGCTAGTGATCGGAAGTCTAAATATGTCACATCCAATCACAGCTATTTAGCTGTGCACATTTGAATCCAATTCAATGCGCTTCATAAATTTATTGAAAGGTCTTCGTGATGTTCGACAGGCAATGGTAAAAACTGACTGGGGGTCATTGACCCCAGTCATTTACCCGGAATTTATCCGGAACTTGCTGATGAATTTGTCAGGCATTAAAAATGAGAAATGGAATGCCAAACACTGCACTCCCCGCTGCTGCGCTGTGTGCAAATCCCCCACCCCTTCCTCACTCATTCAGCTCTAAAAATGAGTATTGATAGCGCCTGTCGTCACTTCGTTATCTTTGGATTTGTAAGCAAAATATTTGTATGTGGTAACGTCTCAATATGGACGTGATGTGTTCATTCCACTGGAAATCTGAGTCAACTCACAGTTTTTAAGAAATTTCAAGAAAGACCAAGATTGGGAGGGGAGGAGGGAATATTAGAGCAAAGAATATACTGTACAAACGTTGACCCAGAACTAGCTCACCTGGAAGTCATGCAGAGATGGCGTAAGACTGGAGAACTATAGATTGGAATGGGCCCTAGACTACTCTTATTTGTTATTTATTTGGAGTAGGCAATTTTCTAGTTAAGCTGAGAGCAGGTGTACGGGTATTTTGCTCCTGTTTAGGTCCTCTATAGCAAGAGGCTCGGTTGGTATACAATAACGTAATTGCGTCATAATTGTATAATTATATAAATTCATTACTCATTAAGCAAATTTTTTCTTTCCTCTTTTCACTTGAGCAAGAATATTCATTCATTCAGACTCTCAAGGAAATAATGCAAAAGTTGGTAGACTCTGCTCTGACATACTCTCACATATATATACATATACATATGTATCTATACATACTTGGTTATATTTTACCTGAGCTGAACTCAAAGTAATTATGCATAAATAATGCGATAAGCCGTAAATGCCACCCTCTCTCTCTCTCTCTCTCTCTCACTCTATATCTTTTATTTCCTTCCGTGCAGTCTCTTAAGCAGACCTAATTGGCGCACCCAGCGGGATCAAGTACTTCCCAAGTGTACTTACTCAGTAATGCACTTTTCATGCACTCTAATTTGATGTTTTTTTTATAGATTTGAATGAAATATGTAAAGGTGAGAAAAACGTACAGACGGATTGATAGACAAAGCTATATTGGGATTAAAATAGATATAGAGAATATATATATAGATATATGAGAATAGATGTACAGTATTTTCTATTGATATACTATATATTGCGAGCTATAAAAATGTTATCAAATTTATAAATAACAATAGGCATTTGCTCATGCAAAAGTTATCGATAACTGAAGCTAATGCCGAGGCATATTTATCGATAAAAGTATTACTCTTGCTCGATCAGGCTTTTATTTGAAGCAAATGCAGTGCAAACATGTTCAAACATGTCGTTCACATGTTATGTGTCAGTCGTGCATACCCCACAGCAGCCAAGCGACAGTCAAGAGCAGACAATTGAGCAAGTAGTACTTCATTTAACTGGTAGACTTCTTTGATTGGCTGTCAGACAAGTTCTTGATGTTGTTGTTGTTGTTGTTGTTGTTAGTTGAGAGTTAACAAAAAAAAAAAGCAGTTACCGTTGCAGTTGCTAATTAAGCCAGCTGCATTTTTAATTAGATATCCGTAGAAGCAACAAACCCACCCACACCCACACACCCACACACACTCACACACGTGCACACACGTAGTCCTTGCATGGGATGAGTGCGTTGCGTATACGACACGTCTGACGGGCGATAAATTAAAATAGTATAAAAGAAATTGGCTGCTTGGCTGCTAACCAGCAGCAAAGCTGCAGCTGACATGTAGAGCTACACACACATATATACTTTATCTGTGTGCGTTTGCCTGTTGAGAGTTGGTTGAACGCTCAACCATGTGTATAAATCATCGACAACAACGAAAGAGAAAAAATATTTATGAATATTTGCGCGAATTGCCAAGCATA